CGTCACTCAATAAATTTGCATTTTTTTATTGAAGATGTTCCTTCATGCTTAAAAAACTTTTATTTATCTAGTTTTTTTCCTCGAACACTAATGCTTTAGAATTGTTTCTTATCTTAGTGTTTTTTCCCTCGAACACCATTGCTTTAGAATTATTTCCTATCTTAGTGTTTTTCTGATCCATACAACATACAGTTTTACAAGTCTTCGCTTTCTTCCTATCTAACTACCTTCATTTTTTTCTGTGAACAACTTAATTAGCTTTTAGCTTTGTTATAAGTAAATTATTAAAAAAAAAATTGTTTAACTTATTTTTTTTTTTTTGTAATTCTTGCATTATTTCAAAAACTGGTGCCGTAAAAGTGGAACAAGAAATGCGGTTTGATAAACACTCTTTTTGAACTCCGAATCCAAACATGCACGTCCTTCATATTCTTGAACTGGGACTTCATGGGACAGATAAGCTAGATTTTTTTATAATATGTGCGCTGCAGAGTACACGCATTGACTGATTTATTTGCATATCATTTTAAAGCTTCAAAGTATTGTTGACTTTTTTAATACCTATGTAATAAATTATTATTATTATTGTATAAAGAATATTTTAACTCTTTCGTGCCGAAGGCGCACATATGTGCGCCTTGGACATACTAATCAAAACACCTCTCTAAAAGTTATAGTTCAAGCCTGTTTTTGCTTTTAATCTTTTGTGCTTAATCTTATGTTTTAATCTTTTGTGCTTCTACACATATAAATTGAGCTTAGGAGATTTGGAGTTTTTAATTTACGGATAGTTTTAATGTTCAAAACACTGAATATAATTGACAAAAATATATGTAGTTGTTAGACGGTTTTAGCGCAGATGGCTTTGAGAAATAGGATTATAAATGATCCAAATGAAGTTCTTTGAATCCTTGATGAAATGGACGATGTCAATGGTTTGTCTTCTGAGTCTTAAGAGTCTGATGTCAACGAATTCCAAGAACTGACGCCTGATATTTTCTTAACAACAGCTCCATTGACAATGACATTATCACCAAGTCAGTCATCATCATCAGAAATAATTTCATCTTCATCATCTGAAGAATATGTTAGTTCCGAAGATGATTTAACAGAAAATATAGATGTCGACTTTTCTATTAATAATTCAGGAACTAATGATAATAAAGGACACTTTACAATAGCATTTGCTAATAGCAATGATACTGTAAATAATAAAAGAATAATCCGTAAACAACCAACTAGTAAACGACTTCATACCATTAAGACCAAGAAGCCTACTATTAGTAAAGATAATAGAGAATGGAAAAAAAATAAAATTATTAGAACTATTACTCCATTTATGGCAACACCAGGACCAACATTTAGAAGATCTGCAATACCTAATTGCGATGGAAATATCAAACCAATCCATCTCTTTGAATTGTTCTTTGATAATGCTTTAATACAAAAACTTGTCACTGGAACAAATAACTATCATTTAAGAAGGTTACAATCTTCTCCTATAAAGCATAGAATGGTATGGGTTGATGTTACGTCAAATGATATCAAAGTATTTATAGCAATTTGTTTAGCCATAGGAATAATAAAACTTCCACGCATCCATCATTACTGGAGACAATTCCAATAAAACACTCTAGAACTTTATTTCGCTTAGTCAGCGTATTTTTTGAACTAATAGAATTAGTTTGTTTGCAAATTTGGCGGGTTTTTAGTGTTCGCGAATATTTTTTTTATTCTTCCGCAAGATGTTTTAAGAACATTCAAGTTAATTAGTTTCCATGTATGTCTGTAAAATAAAAATTAATATATATTAATTTTTTAATTTTTAAGTCTCCGCCATAATATATATTGGATGTTATAATAATGGAAATATAAATAATGAAATAAGACCACCTCAAGACCAAAAAATACATTTTTTTTTAATATTTACGAAGTAAATTAATAAAAGTGCATTATTATTTAAGTTAAAAATTATTTTATCTAATATTTTGAAAAAAAAACTTTTAACAAAAGAAATCAAAATTCACGTTGTCTAGACGATTATTTAAAAAAAGTTGCGCAAATAAAATACTATTTTGTTTTTAATTTTTTTACAAACACATTTTAGAACTTCAAAATATAATAAAAATGAATATGATTTGGAAATTGTATGTAAAAAATAATAATCGGTGTTTTAAACAAACAAACAAAAAAATCTATGACGTCATGCACTAAAACTTCTATGAATTAAACGCGCTTGAATAAATTATCAAGACTGTATAATGCGCCTGGAAAATCGCGTTTATTTTACATACTCAGAATACCGCAGAAAATGAAGAAGACGAGCTTCGACTAAAACAACAAGATTCGTTTTTCTTGGTATACATTTATTAATTAGTTTTAATCAAAAAAAATTTGCTCTAACATTTTTTTTTAACATTCTCTTTAATATGAACACAACATGTCTCGGGACTTGTTAGTCCCATTAAAGGAAGAATCTCTTTCCGACAATTTATTCCAAGCAAACGTACAAGATTTGGAATAAAAGCTTGGTTAATGACAAAGTCATCTACCGGGTACATATCAGAGTTCTTGATTTACACTGGAAAAGATATTGATGGACTAAAGTACCATGATCTTGCAGGAACAGTTGTCCTTCAACTAACCCAACATGTTTTAAAACAAGGATACCATCTGTATTTAGATACAGATGGTATCCTTACTATTACACTAAGGTTGGTTTGCTTGAGTATCTTTACGAAAATAAGGTTTATACAACAGGTATTGCACGAGTTGATCGCAGCCAATTTCCCAAGGAGATTATATCAAAAACAAAAATGAAGTTACAACGCGGGTATAGTGATTGGCGAATGTGTGGTTCAGGTTTGGCGCAGGTCTGGATTGACAGCAAGCCTGTTCATATACTTTCAACAATTTACTATCCAAATTATGATGACAAAGTTGCAAACAGTACAATATATGTGAAGCGAAATGGAAAAAAAGGGGCAGTTGGTGGAATAAGTGTTCCATGCCCCCTGCAATTAAAGATTACAATGCCAACATGGGTGGTGTAGATTGAGCAGACCAAATCATGAAGTATTAAATTGTAAAAAAATGTCAAATAAATGGTATAGGCGAATCTTTTACCACCTATTAGAAATATGTGCTCATAATGCATTTGTATTTGAGTCTTGGTTTATTGACCATCGTGCCCGCATCAAGGTTTTCGTGAGGAACTTATTGAACAATTATAGGAAATACTAGATTTAAGAATAGTGGAAGACCTAGTGATTCAAATGAACCAATTACACCACGACATACAAATGTTGGAGTTCATAAACCTTTGGTAAACGATAAGCCAAGAGATTGCAAAAATTGTTCTGAAAATATTCGAAAAACTACTTTAATTGGTCAGTCCCAGCGCCATTCAAAAAGTATTCGTAGATCACGTGTTTTTTGTTTATTTTGCAATGTCCATTTATGCCTTGATTCAGTCTCTAATTGTTGGAATATGTGGCATTCATAGTTTTATTTTTAAAATTATGTATCTATACATTCACTTGTGTTGAAAAAGTATAACAAATAAAATAGCTGAAAAATCTTGTATTTGCTTTACACAAAGAGTGGGTTTATTATTTTCTACTTATCTAAATAAGGAAAGTATCCCATCAAATTAGTTACTTTTCCTAATAGGTATTTTTAATATTTTTATTGAATAACAAAATTAAGCAAAAATAAAAAATAAAAAACAATTTGACGTCACCAGAGAAAAATGTTAATTATTTAATTTCTAATTATCTAAATTAAAAAAGTGACCCATCAAATGAAAGCTGAATAAATTTTGCACCGTTTTACAAGCCTTTATTAAATTTTAAAACAATATAGCTAACTATTTGAAAGGCTTAAATAGCAACTATTCAAAATTCGCAAAGCTTCTTTATCAATATGAAATAATGTAGACGTCATAGGTTTAATATTTTTACTTTTCTTTTTAGTTTTGGATTCTAAATTTTTCCTGCTTTCCAAGGATATATACTTTGATTAACTTATTTTGTAAGAAAACCCATGTATTTAAGTGTTTACGTGACATAGTATTGCGCTTTTCAAATTGCCTAAATAAATCCCGGCACGAAAGGGTTAAATCTTTTTTGATCCCCTCCGCCCTCGTCACAATATTGTGACGAGGGCAAAGGGGTCGGAATGAAAAAAAATCTTGTACGTCTCGTAACAAAACCACTCTTACCTCCCTAGAGCGTAAGCTAATTTATGGACAACCCCTTGGGATAATTAAATACATTTTCAAATTTGAAATTGGTTGTTTTATTGAAACAAAAAGTTAAAAAATAAATTGCTCACAATGTTTTTTTACTTATATAAAATGATCATTAATTCACTTTCATTTTCAATATAATTAGTATCAGAAGTTGTGTGGTTCAATCTTTTAGTTCGAACGTGTATCAGTTAATCTTAGACCTGAATCAAAAAAACAAACAAATATTTAGCTCAGGTTATCAAAAATTTTTGTAAGGATTTTAATTCCTGTATCAGTGCAAATTTTATAAACGTCTAAACTTGTTAAATTTATCTAAGTGCGTCAGTTTGCGTCAGTATCATTTTAAAATATATAAAGATAGGAAATAAGAGAACTTAGCAGTTTTAAAATAAGAACTAAATATAAAAAAAGATTTCATTTGATGGAATTTTTAGATATCTTTTATACTTTATAATTTTTTTAGCTCATGTTGAAATTCATTGGCATATTTTCAAAACAAGTGTAGTTTTTTAAATTACTTGTGATAATCTTATTTGTATATTCAAAAATGTAATTTAACTCAATTAAAAATCTTTTTTTTTTTAGTAATAGATTTGTTCTTAAATTTTGTTTAGATGCTTAGCTTTACTTTTATTTCCGTCCTCTTTGTCTTATTTGGTACCCTGTCAACTATTGTTCCATTAATGGTTAGTAATAAACTGTTGGCATGGTTGCTTGAATCAAAATAACAATATAATAAAGAGGTTTTCCCGTGCTTTTTTGATAACAATCTTAAGCAAGTATAATAATCTTTTCATTTATAATCTTTCCCTGGCACAAACAAAACTGTTTTGATGATTTTTTCGTATCAAAACTAAATAAAAGACATTTAGCAGGTAAAGTTCTTTTTTCTCAATTATAACTCAAAAGCTTTTTTTTTTAATTTTTTTTTTTTGTTCTTTTTTTTTGACTTTGCTCACAAACAAAAATAAAACAATCTATTAAAACTTTAAAAACTATAGTATTATTAACCATTAACCAACCGCACATTCTAAAGATACTAAATTGTTAACTCTACTTATTAAGTGAATTATTAACTTCACATAAACACTGTAAACAGTTATAAAAAATTCATTTTTGTTTCCCTAAATTTAGTAAAAAAAAGCTTTAACTGATTATTAGTATTCATAACTGCCTATTACTTTTTGATAAGACCTTGAACATTTATTGTGGAAATGTTGTTTTAATTTTTGTATTAAAATTTTTAATGACAAAATATTGTAAAATTGTATAAGCATATTTTTAAATTTGAATTTCAAAAATCAGATATTTCTTAGTTTAAGGGAAAAAAATAACTTTTTTTTATAAGTATTTTCTGATCACATCGCTCTCTATAAATTCTATCAAATCGAGAAATCCGTCTTATTTGAGCTTATAAATTTAGCGTCTAGATCAAAAAAAGCCGCAGAGACATTTTTTATTTAATTTAACATTAAATAACAATTTATTTTTTTGTAGCAGAAAATTATCTTTTAGATGCTCTTAGAAAAATATCTTTTAGATTTATCTGCTTGAAAAAAGGTTTTTATATCATATAGAAAAAATTATTACCAAATTTTGTATAATGCACCAAAAAATTTACAAACGAAACAAAAAAAAAAAATCAATTGGACGCTTTAAATGCAATTTTAATTCTTTTTAAAAAGAAGGTGTTCATCGGATCCTAAATCACAGATCAACATAACCAGTGACGTTCCGGAGTTTATTTTATTAAAGTAATTTTACTAATATTATTCTTGTATATTATTTTTATACACTTATACATATGAATAAATACACTATTATATATATATATATATATATATATATATATATATATATATATATATATATATATATATATATATATATATATATATATATATATATATATATATATATATATATACAATCTGCGTCTTTGTTGCACATGTCACTTCTGTGCGTGGTTCAAAATCTGGCATTAGAACTTGCGGCTCAATTACAAAAACATTCTGAAAGTAGTCATTTAAAATTCGACATATTTCCAATAGACACTAGATAATCGGTATCGAGTATCGTCTGGTATTGGTGCGATACCTTACATTATCGATAATGAGATCACGCAATGCTGGTATCTAAAGTATCGGTTATATTGATATCGTTTAATATCTGTGCAATACCTTACAGTATAAATATCGAAATCACGTGATACTGGTATTGAAAGTATTGGTTATGTTGGTACCATATGATGCCGATACCGATACCAGTAGTATCATTTGGTATCGCAGCTCGGGTCTTCGCGAGAATTTGTATTTTATTTTTTATAAACAATTAGTAATTTGAAGTTGTAAATTTAAATAACCACTGAGATGGAGAGTGTGGAGAAGTAGGACAATAAAAAATATTTCTAGTATAATTTCAATATCTTTTTTCTATAACTTTTGCACTGTACCAAACAAGTTTTAACATATAAAGTATCGTTTCGGGCACTGATTCCATCCCCTAAGATTGAAAGCAGGTTACAGTAAAACATAACTTTACAATATGCTATTTTTAAATTTAGAGGCACTGTGCAACTGGGGTAAAGTGGGAAAGCCATGGAATTGAGACAAGCGAGTAATTAACAACATATTAACAAAAATTATTAACTAAAAACTATTAAACTCATAAACCACGTGATCCTCGTCAAAATATTTAAGAGATTTTCACAAAATATTTACACAAAAGTGGTAGAAATAGAAGATTAAATAATTATCTTTGTCTTACTTCATCTCTCAAAAAATCTTATCAAAAAAGATAAGGTACTTATCAAAAAGGTGGTTTTTACCACACGCAGGAAGACAGAGCTTTGTTTGCTAAATAGATTGGAAAAAATCTCATTTTTTACATTAGATAACGTTGATTAATGATTAGATAACGTTGATTAATTAAAATTTTGAAGATGTTCCACTTCTTCCGCGTCCCACTTCTACCCCACTCTTCCCTATATAATTGACTCATATAGTATAATAGAAATTCTCAGGGATTGTGTGGTATCGTTTCACATCATACTTAATGTTTCAAATAATATTGCAACATTAATTTAATTGATTGTGTGGTATTGCTTCCGTAATTTAATTTCTTATTTGGTATCTTTATTTTAATTTAATTGATTGTGTGGTATTGCTTCCGTAATTTAATTTCTTATCTGGTATCTTTATTTTAATTTAATTGATTGTGTAATATTCGTTAATTTAATTTCTTATCTGGTATCTTTATTTTAACTTAATTATTTGTGTGGTATTGTTTCCGTATTTTAGTTCGAAAGATTTCCAAAACGTGTATAAGACGTTTAAAAATATTTTTTTTTTTCGTTCGTGCGCATTGGAAAAAAGCAATAAAACTAAAATGTGACTTTTTGAATCTATAATTTTTTTAATAATAGATTCAAAACGTAACATTTTAGTTTTGTTTTTTTTCTAATTGTAACAATGCACAGTGGGTCAGAAGCCGACAAAACCATGCAAAAAAGTTTTTAACTTTTGAAATTTTGAAAAAGGCAAATTTTGCTCAATATAAGCCAGAAATTATATTTTATTAAAAGTAATTTTTCAATAAAACGCCATATTTGTTGTTTAAATATTTCCTTAAATACTTTTTTTATCAATAACAACAAAAAAGTGTGAAAATGTTATTTTTTTACATCTTTTGAAAACTTTGATTTCTTATTTTAAAGAAGTTTAAGTTTATTTTTTAACTTATAAATGACTTATATAGTATTATGTTGATATTTAAATCACATAAAAAAAAATATTTTTTGCATTTTATATAAATATTTTCAACAATGCAAACATCAATAATTTTGAGTTATAAGTTTTTATTTTTTTCAAAAATATCATTTAAAACCATCGAATCAACCTGTATCAACCGCTTAAAATGATATATAATTGAATACCAATATGACATTGATCTTGTGGTATAAAAATTGGCTGCCTATAGCCTAAACGAATACACTTTTAAATTCAATTAACTACGTCCACGTTTCTTGTTAATGCGTTTTTGATCGATAACAAAAAATTTAAGAAGATTTAAAATTTAAAAACTGCAGTTTGACTTTATAATAATTTTTATTAAAGACTTAAGTTTAAAATTAAATATTTTTGTATTTTTCAATTGCTTTCCAGTAACTTCCTCGTATTTGCTCAATGAACATTTAGATCGCATTGAAACCATTATTCCTAATTTTTTATGCTACCGTTTTAAAGTAATAAAAACTCAGAGACTGTGATAAAATATGAAATATATACTTCTACGTAGTACAAGTTTGGGATATAATATTTATTATTTATTTTATAATTTCCGAAAACAATAAAGTTATATGTAATAGATAAAAAACACGATAACAAAAAATGAGAAATAAAGGAAAGGAACTGAGTTTCATAGTTACTGCTCGTAAAATAATTACTTTATTAAAAACATTTTAAATTACTTTCTTTCAAATTAAAAGTATTTTATTGAACAGACAATCTCTTAAAAATGGATAGGAGATGTCTTATGAATTATATAATGGAAAATAATTTACTACAAAATTTTGAGTTTTGATATTTGATATTTTGAGTTTTGTTTCCCAAAGCTAATGATAACTTGTCAATTATTTCGAAATTCATTTACCAAGTGGAAAAAATCGAATAGAACAAGTGCAGTATTTGAAAAAAGATAGAAAGTTTGGTTAAACCAAACTATATTTGACTGTAAAAAAAAAAATTCGAAACAAAAACCTGTGGCATGTTTACTTTAACTATGTGTAAGTTTATTATAATGTGTATAATTTATTTGTATTATTATTACGACGATTTAATAATTGATAAAATAATATTATACTTTAAGGTGGACGCCCTTCGATTTTGTTTGAAGATGCGTCTGTGAGAACTAAAGATCGCATAATTAAAGAGCTTTTAAGTAAATATAATTTAATCGAACTTTTATATGCAGCAAGTAAAAGTTTGAAAAGGGATAAAAGGTTTATAGAAGCAAAAGTGGTTAAAAAAAATATACAACAAAGAATTATCGACAGAATCACTTACTTCAGAACAATCATTAGCGCTAGTCTTAGATGCTAATTTATCCAAAGAAACTTATCAGCAACAAGAAACAATGCTCTTCCATTCAGCTCTCTATACCCATCCTATCATATTGTAAAAGAGGCTAAAAATAAATGCTACCCTGAAAACATTCAGGTCAGTGACTACTCTGCAGAGGTTTCATTACAAGCTCTTCTTTTTCATACTGCATCAAGAATATGTTCAGCTTATAGTGTTGTGTTAAATTCATTTGTGCTTAAAGATTGTACTAAACTATTTATAATATACAAAGCTGGTTTTGATGGTGCAACAGGACAATCTGTTTATAAACAACTGTCAGATGTTTATAGTGAACTTCATACAGATGAATCACTTTTCATAACTTGCTTGGTTCCTCTAGAACTATATTGTTTCAAATATGACAAAAAACAGGTTGTTTGGAGAAATCCAAAACCATCGTCAACTAATTAATGCAGACCTCTGAGATTTAAATATAGAAAAGAATCAAATGAAGTAATTCTTGCAGAATATGAGTCAATTATGGCTTCTATTAAAGAGATAACATTATCTGTTGTACCTGTTTTATTGGAGGACGGTACAATAAAGGAAGTTGAAGTACAACATATTGTAAATTTAACAATGATAGATGGAAAAATTCAAACTATTTTTTCCACAGCAACCAACTCATACCAATGCTGTTCAGTGTGTGGTGCATCTCCGATCGAAATGAACAATTTATCTTTAGTTGTTCAAAAAAAAAAATTTAGAAGGCAATATAAAACATGGTGTTTCAACTTTGCATGCTTGGATAAGGTTTTTAGAATGTATGCTCCATATCTTTTATAAGATGCCGATTATGAAGTGGCAGGCTAGAAATCAAAACGAAAAAATATTGTTAAACTGAGAAAGCTTGAAGTCTGTACTGAATTTTGAACAAAGATAGGTCTTGTCATAGACCAACCAAGAATAGGTGGGGCAGGTACATCAAACGATGGCAACACAGCTAGGCGATTTTTTCAGCAATACGATGCCTCAGCTAGTATAATGAACATCGGTGTAGATCTTATGAAAAGGCATCATATTATTCTGGCCACAATATCAAGTGGTTATGAAATTAACTCATCCAAATTTAAAACATTCTCTTGGGAAACTACTTCGCTCTATGTATTCCTGTACCCTTGGTATCCTATGAATCAAACACTTCATAAGATTTTGATTCATGGCTAGAAGTCATTGAACTATTTACTCTTCCATTAGGTATGTTTTCTGAAGAGGCTCAAGAGGCTACCAATAAGGTTTATAAGATTTTTCCTGAAAATTTTACAAGAAAATGCGATCGGAAAAAAAACAATATAGACCTTTTTCACCGCCTTTTATGTGCATCTGATCCTTTAATTTGCACATTAAGAAAGAATATATATAAAAAAAAAAAAAAAAGTCTACCATCTGGTGTACTTGAACTAATGCAAGAGCCAACGATAGAGTACTCTGCGTAAAACATAAATTTAAATAATATCCTTGTTGTTAATTTTGTTGGGTAAAAACGGAATTTTTTTAAATTGAAAATAAATGAGTTTTTTAATAATTTGCGTAATTATGTAATAAAATTTGAAGTTTTTAAAAAACAAATGTTATTTTTTCCACAAATTATGTTTTTCAATATAATAAACTGTTTCTAATAAAAAAAAATAAAAAAATTTTGGTTATAGAGGTTTTTGCTAGAAAATGTCACTTTTGACCCACTGTGCAATGCGGCTATTTGATACCATACTTTTTATAATCTCGATGTGCATTTCCCTTTTTCGCCCGTATTTGATCTTTTAGATTCTGCATTTTATTTATGTAGGCGTTAATCGATTTTGAGTTATGCATTGAGGCTTGAATAATTACTGATTCGTATTGTAGAACTGCTACTTTAACCTCTTTATTGACCTGCTTGCATGATTCGACGTGTTTCTTTCGAAGGATTTTATGTGCGCCGAGCGACTCGGTACTTCTCCCAAAATCTTTTTTTTTCTACGATAGTCTCTTTAAAATTTGACGTTACTTTTCTTTTAAGCAAAAAAAAAATATTTTTGGTAAAAATATCAAGAAATTGATATATTTTTTATCAACTTTTAAGCATTAGCTCGGTTTATGAAACTAAAAAGCTTAAAGTAAGTACAATGAGATGTAGTCAAAACGAGATAAAGGTTACGTTTACTATAATTTTGCTTTTAAATTCCGATCATGAGTTTACTCTCTATCGGAATATTAAGACAAGCATGAAAGGAAAAAAACCGGGAAACAAGTATTACTTTTTAAAAAGTAGCCCACGTGGAGTCATTTTATAAACAACAACAACATAAAAAGCAATTTAATACGAATTCAGTTAAATTAAAGTATATATATAAATGACGTTTTTAAATATATTTTTTTATTTTTAATTAATATTACTATGTAAAAGTTATTACTATTATTTTTCATATCTATTTATTTAGTGTAAAATGACAAATTATCAAGAAGTTATTGAGTCTTCTATTGGACAGTTTGGTCGATCTCAGTTGATTATTTTAATTGTAACTGGGTTACCTCAAGCTATAGCAGCATGGACTATGGTTATGCTAGGGTATGCAGGAATAGAGCAAGACTGGTGGTCAGAAACTACGAGTTTCAACAGTACATGTAAAGTTGCTATTTTTGAAAAGATTTTAAATTTTATCTTATGCTGTTTCGTGTTGTGATTATATGCGATTTTTAATTTTAAAATAAAACTATTAATATTTAAAATTATCAAAGTTAAATATTTTCTTAAATATGAATAAGTTTATTGCAGTCGGTAACACAATAATTCATTTGATTAATTCTGAGTAAACATTAAAAAAAACCATAGTTTAATCTTTTACTGTCAAAAAAGATGTAAACGATAAGTATTTTTTAATCGCAACTAGTCAAAAGCAAAAAAACAAAAACAAAACAAACAAAAAAAACAAACACTTTTTGCAAACAAATTTGCTACAACTGCATCAAAAAAAAAAAACAACTTTTTCCTTATAAAATTTAAAGGTTAAAATCTGTAGATTTTAGGCTGTAAATTTAGAAAGTGTGTATTAATGAAAGCAACAATATACTTGTCATAAAAATAATGGAGTTAGTTGTTGAAATAATAGCTATATTGCATATAAATATTAGGAAGTTATATTTTATTTAAAATTTACTCAAATATGTAATGTGTAATTTTTGTGTTTAATAATAAGTAAACATACTTTGATATATATTTCTTATAAATATTTTAAAAAAAAAAAAAAAAAAAAAAAGGTATTTATAATTTATTATTTAAAAACAAACTTTTTTAAAAGTATTTAACAATAAATAGCTTATCTAATAAAAAAAATAACCTAAATAAATAGTTAAAAAAAATTAATAATAGCTCTAGGAAGTCTTTATTGATGATTTACTTTTAACAGTCTATCTATAATAAGCAAAGCAAGCTATAGATATTGTCAGTCTAGACATTTTTTTTGCAGGTTTAATAAAATTTTTTGTTGGCGATATTTAAATTAACAGATTAAAAATTTGTTTTAATAGATGATTAAATTTTCTGATAAAAATCTTGTTGATTTTTTAACAACTTTATATTGTTGCTTTCACGCATAAAAGTTAATTAGGTTACAGTAATTTAATTAATAGTTGACTTTCAATATAACAATTTCAATAAAGTTATTATCACATTTATGTTTACTATAATAAGTATCACTCAGCTACCTTAATAATTTTAAAAAATCTATTTTTTTAAATCAAAATAGAATAAAAACTTTTATATCTTAAGGACTTGTTAATTATACAATGTAAAATTAATATTCATGTAATAAATTAATTCTAATTTAATATTTGAATGACTTTAATAAATAATAGTTAAGTCTTATTTGGAGGAATGCAGTATTGCAATAGTTAGAGTGTATACATTTTTTTAAAATATGGAGATCAGGCCCTAACTTACCAACACATGGTTGGTAAGTTTATGACTCAACTTGTTTCTGCCTAAAGTTTCTTAAATGCTTTTAGTGTATATTTGGTACTGGTATAGTGAAAGAGAGCTTGCTTTGTAAACAAAATGGATAGAGTACAAATTGCTACATGTTCCTTTAATCACTGAAGTATAGGTTGGAAATTGCATTTGCTTATAAAAAAATTAATTTGCATAATTTTAATCTTTAAGTTTATTCTGGTATAAAACAATAAAAAAATCACACTTTAATTCTTTATTGTTGAGTAAATTTACGTTGAAGAGAAATAAGTATGCATATAATTTAGCAGTGTTAATACTATTTATATTCTAATTAGGAAAAAAACATTTAGAGTTTAGCTTCAACAGCATCAAAAATATATATTTTCTTATAAAGTTATGTTGGTATTAAACTGTAGATTAACATTTTTTTTACAATAAAAATAACTAATTTCTAATTGTCATAAGAAAGTAATTAGTTGTAGAATTAACAATTATGCCACATGTAATTATTTAGAAATTTTGTTTCAGTATTACCCTAGTTAATATTGAAAAAGTGTTAACTTTATTACTATTAATATATTAATAACTAACTATTTATCATTACCAATCTGTATCAAAAAAAAAGTTTTTGTTTAAAGTTTTGTAGAATCTATTCTTTTTCTTTTCCTTTTTTTTAGAGAGATAAATATCTCTAAACAAGGTTTTTTTGAGGTATGTATTTCCAAAATACCTTTATATTTAGATGACAAAAAGGAATGATTGTGTATGCACATACTGATATAAGTCTCCAGTAAATTAGATAATATTTAAAATATGCAATTTATTGTGACGACTAGTACCTATTAATGAATCATGAAAAAATAAAAAGTTAAAACTCAACTTTTAATATTGTTTTTAAATTCAGCCTAATGGTTGCCCATGTTTGTCATTATGATTTTTGTAGTAGTTAATTTTTAATAATTTAAATTCTGGTGGAACAAAATGACTAAAACATGATTCCTGATCAATTTTGAGGATGCTGAAAAATGTAGAAAAGATACCCAAATTTAAAATTTTTTAATCTTGGTTACTTGTCTTTATTTACCTTTAGTCCTTATCTTACCTTAGCTTTTCTTACCTTAGCTTTTCTTTCATATTACTTCTTACATGTTACAGTTTATTTTACCATTGCTCAAACATTGTTCCAGCAAACAATGTTTGACCTGTGGTTGGGTTCTGCAAGCTAGCAGCATGACAAGCCGTTTTACTGTGCTACTTATTCCATCACATCTTAATTTGATATGACTTGTTGCAAAGAAACTCTAGATGCAATTAACAGGAAAATCTTCAGCATGCTGACATAAATTGTGAATATGTTGGCAGTTTTTTTACTGTCCTGCATAGCTGTCAGAAAAACAATAAATTTTAAAAATAGTGGATTAATAAGATCATATAAAAGCTAAAGGTTTTTATAGGATTAGCGTTTTATGTATAATTTAATTTTAAGTATAACTTCATTGATAAATTTAACATCATAGTTTAAATCATCTAAAATAATTTAACATCATAGTTTAAATCATCTAAAATTATGCAAAAAAATGGCTCCAATTTTGCTGCAATGGTAAATTCATCATCTTGTATTACAAATGTTTACTTATCTGTAAAATCTCCCAGGACAGTTGTTTCATCAAAAGTAATAGTCTCTTTCAGATGCTTTAGATTGTTTCATTATGATTTTGTGATAAATAAATGAGAAATAATTTTGTCAAACTTTTTATAATGGGTGTTTTTATCTGTGAAATAATCTGTGGAAAGTTTGAAAAAAATTTTGCTTGAAAAAAGTACACCCAGCAGTTTTCTTGATTTTAGATACTATCTATTTTGTTACAAATTTAATACTTTTTCTTTATATAAATTACATTTTGTAAAAAAGTTACACATTTCCACAGAAAACATTTTTAGTAATTATATTTAGCTCATCAATCTAATTGAAAGAAACTCACCTTGGATCATTTTGAAATAGAAAAAAATCCACGACAAACCATTTATGACATGATCCAGTGTGCTGAAATTAATTCTGGTTATAAAAGAGTTAAATGAAGTTGTCACATTGCCAGTAAAAAGAATTAAAAAAAGTTAGGTACCCCATGATCAAAATCATGTTTAACTACTATGATGGAGTTTCCCAAAGGTAGACTGCTAGAAAGTTTGAATATAGCACTGATTAATTACTCGTTAATGAAAAAATAAAAAAGTAAGAAACACAAAATAATGACTACCAAAATAGAATTCGCCAAAAGATGTGATTGCCTGTATCAGAATTTTTAAAATCTTATTTCACTTTAGTTTATGACACAGTTATTGTAAATAATATTTTTTACTTAAGCAACATTGAACAAACTCCAGCATAGTAAAGTATAGAAAAACTGCAAAATTTTACTAAAAAATACTTGTTTTTTATTTCTGATAAAAGGGTATCAAAATTTACTTTCTCCCCTGCTGTGTTACAGTTAATCAAAATCTTTACATTGGACCAAGAAACGACTACCATTTTTTACTAAAGAATATCATAATGATGACTAATACTAATTTTGGCCTGACCTTGCCTATTTGCATTATTGTGAAACAGTGGCATCATTTGAAAAGAATTCCACAAATTTGGCCAAAATTGATAACTTTGATTATTCTAAAAGGAATGAACTGACTGGCAAGAAATCTAAAATAACTTCGAATAAAGATAATATCTTGGCTCAAGAAAATGGACATGAAGAGTAAATACTTTATATAAATACATTTCTGTTTTATTTGTAGCTTAAAGATTATTAAAAAGTAATTAGCAATTTATAAATTTCACAGATTTTTATTGAACAGCCATTACAAAAGCTCTAAATAAATAATTTAATGGAAGCTTCATTGATAGTTCAGCTCTAGCTGTTGTTATCCACTGTTTGAAATCAACTAATTGTTAACTTTCATTACTGTCAGATGCTGTTTTAAAACTTTTAGGTAACTTTTATGCCAGAACAACAAAAGTGAAACAAGCAAAATTTTGTTTCTCTGCTGCAGATAATTATTTCAAAGGTTTTACATTACTTAAGTAGAATCTGTATCTTTTGGACCAGCATGGATGTACTATTTAAGCTGAAGACTGCAAAATTTAGAGAATCCTATTTTATTTTCTAGGTACTTTATCTTATATGTTGCATAAAATATGATTGATCCAAAATATTGATTTTTTTATTTTTTATTTTTTAACTCAAAAACTTCAAAAGTTTAAGTACTAATATTCAATTATTTTTTCCTCTAGATTTATTATTAACATCTATATTCCTACTTAGAATTATTCATCGAAAAGTACCGCTATAGATCTAAATTAAAGAATTTAAACCCAAATAAGGAATTTTTTGGGTCATTCCATGCTAAATGGACCAAAATTTCAGGATTTCAACATGGACTACCTCAGAAATTGATGAAAATTGTTGAGTTAGTTAATCAATCAATGAGAAACTTGATTCCTTAAAATTTCAGCATAAAATCTTTTTTGGTTCATGAGATATGGTTATTTTAAAATTTCTGATTTTTCCAAAAATAAAAACTTAAGTAGCGAAAACATGTTTTGTTCATACTTTGAAGCTTTATATTAAAAAAAAAAGAAATTTCAGGAAAACTTCTAGTTTTTTTTTTTATTGTATACAACTCTAGACTTTAATAAAGTTTTGACATTGAATTTTTGAATGTCACTTTTTATCCCTAATGGCTATCTAAAAAACCTAAAAAATTGTTTGCAAATATAAAAAGTTGATTTTTGATTAGTCAATATACAAAATCTGCAATTTAAGAAGTGAAAAAACATAATTATTTAGCTTATTTTTTTAGTTTATATAAATAGTAGGCTTCCAAATTTTTTGAAATTTACTGATAAGATACGATTTAGTAAAAAATTACGGACTTCAAACTTAAGAAAATGTGCTTCCACTTCAAACCACTGGTAACCTAGGATCAACAATAGTTTTGATAAGATCGTTTTTTCTATTGATTTAATAGACTTTATGAGTGATTTCAGAGAAAAAAATAGTGCGTGCCCATGGAGAAGTTGCAAAATTAGAACAATGAAATTAGCCCAAAATACATTAAAAACAAAAAAATTGAGTTATTGTTGTACTTTATATAAATATCAAAATATTTCAAAATTGAATATTATGCTTTAAAAGACTAAAATCATATTTTATTTTGAGGTTTTAAAATTTTCTTTTGTAATTTGAAAAATATTTTAAATCTGAAACTTATGTTAACTCAATAAATGTTTGTCATGACCATTTTAAAATGACTATTAAAAACTTCAAATTGAGTTACTTTCTCTACATTTTTTGATTCAGCTCTAAAATAGTCAGGTATTATTATTTATATAAAATAGTCAGGTATTGTTATTTAAATAAAATAGTCAGGTATTATTATGTAGCCATATTCTTCCTATTAGAACTTTTTCATTTAAAAGTGCAACTACAAAATCCATAATGTCTTCAAAATATTTTTAATATTTCAGTAATAGGTATAACTGTTCGAAAGTTTCTAAAATCTGAGGGGGTGATTTTAATATTTTTGTTTTATATGAATTTCAAATTTTTTTATCCCATCCTTTAGGCCCTTGCATCAAAAATAAAGTATTTTTTAGTTCAAAGCATGGCTAATAAACATGTTTTGCTGTTATTGATTGGTTGACTATGCGTTATGTAATTTCAGTAGTAGATTTAAAATAAATTCAATTTAGTTTTTAAAAATTTAACATTTTTAAGGTGCCTAAAAAATCTTAACCAACAAATGTTGATTTTGTAAACTTTAAAAAAAAGTCAATGAAAAAAATTTCAATTGAAAATCAAGACTTCAATTAAAGTTATGATTCCTAGTTTATAATTATAAGTTAAAAAACCTGTGTCAGTTCATTAATAAATTAAAAAACCTGTCAGTTTATTTTTATAGAATGCAGAGGTTTTAAACTTAATATTGTAATCAAAATTAATCATAATAGTAGAAGTTTAATTTATGATCAACTCTCTTCCTCTTTAGTAAATTTAAGGAATGTTAATTGTTTATGTATTCTAGGAAGGTAAGTACATAATTATTATTGTTAAAGATTCAAAATATATCATCAACATCTCATTTGCTAAAGGAAACTTTTTGCATATATTATTTATTGTTTTTTAACCAAATATTTTCATGTTGACTCATAAATAGTTTAGCTAAAGTGGAAGCCAAGAAAGACTCTGTGATAGCTCCATATATATATAGTTCAGTAGAATCCTGTTAACTATGAATTGAAATATATTTATTGTTCAACTTAGCGAATGTCCTGATTCATCAGTCAGTTTATTTCCTTCTTCTTCTTGCATTTCATTATCAACTGCCTCAATAATATCTTGAACAATTTCTTCTGTGTAATCTATTGATGATGATGCTCTGTCATTACACTTTCCATTATTAAAGCATCTTCATCAACTGTTAACATTTCTTTATAAACAAAGTCATTTGGAGCAATGATGTAACTGATTGGTTATACTTTTTTATGCAGAGAAGTATTCATCTTCTGGGTGTTAATCAGCCTGATGATACTGTTTATAACGCAGAATTCCCGATTGTTTTAAAATCCCAAAAGTTCAAAAGATCATAGTAAAAAAAAAAAATTTAATGCTCTTAAATACTATCATGGTCACTGCTCCCTAGTTTCATCAATTAAAGTTTATTCTCACTTGACTTGTCATTCAGCAAAGTCTCATCTTTTTACTCTGTAATCTTATTAAAAACAAAATTATGATTTTTGTGATAATTGTTCTGTAATAATGTAGCTTAATGTATTTACCAAAATTTATTTTTGAAATCTTTTTTAAAATTTATAATAATTTATTTATTTTAATTTATATAAAATATTTCAAATTTTAAAGAATTTTTTAATGCTAATTTTGGTTTCCATTATTAAATTTTTATTTTTAGCTAATTCTACGTTTACACAAAGGTTTTTCAAAGTATGTCCAAAGAGTGGAAACGAAACCATTGTCTTTAAAGAAGGTCTTAACAACATAATTACTGAGGTTGATTATTATATCACTTTATAGTTATTAGTAACAGTTAAAAATAAATCTTGAATTAAATAAATCAAAGATTTTATTGGATGTGTAGTTTTAAGAAGAATGTAACAATTCCAGGATGAAAAAACACCTATATTATTTGGGAAATAGTTTTTGAATTCAACTATGTAACAAAATATTTTTTTTCAACAATAAAAATGCTTTTCTAATATGCTTTTTTTACAGAAATTTCAAGTACATACATACATACATTCATACATACATAAATACATACATACATACATACATACATACATACATACATACATACATACATACATACATACATATGTACATCCATTAACCCTCGGAATTAGGGTTGGCATTTGGCAATGTCAACCTAACTGCTGACCTGAAAGTGCTTGAGGTCGGCAAAAAATTGCCGACCTCGTTTCTATGTTTTATGGTCAGACCTTTGTATCAAATAATTTTTGCTGACCTGATGCCAACCTCAAAATGAATGAGGTCTGCAAATTATTGCTGACCTCATTTTTCCTAATTCCAAGGGTTGCATCCATACATACATTATATGTGTGTGTTTGTGTGAGTATGTGTATATGCATATATATGTATGTATTTATATATATTAGGGGCTATTCTAGACCATTTTTGAAAGCGTCGACCGTATTTGGGCGCCAATTTGGGCACTGCCCAAATTAAAATTTAAGTACATTTTTTTTTTACCTTTTTTATGACAAATATTTTTTTTTTTTTGAGAAAAAATGCTGAATTTCTGTTAAATTTCTCTGTGATAAAGAGGTGCCGCCCAAATTATTTTTACTAAAATAGCCCCTATATATATAAATATATATATATATGTATATATATATATATATATATATATATATATATATATATATATATATATATATATATATATATATATATACATATATATATATATATATATATATATATATATATATATATATATATATATATATATATATATATATATATATATATATATATATATATATATTTATATATATATATATATAGGCACACACACACACACAAGCCTCGGCAGGAAGTGAGAGCTTTAGCTCTTGTTAACACTCCCTTAACGGTTTACTGGAGCAATTTATGGCTTTCGCAAAAGTATAATTTTTTCTCTCAAAAGTATAATTATCATTGTAACTAAAATAAAAAACGCAGTCATTTTAATAATTATTTTTAATAATTCTTAAAATGCCTGCATTCTATTACAATAAGAAAATATAAAACTTTTTTATAAGCAGTAAAAACAATGCTCGTCTAAAGAATTTTTTCATGCCACAATAAATGATATTTTTTATGTATATACTTTTGTAATATTAACGTAACAAACATATGCTTGACATGGCACAACAAATCTATAAAAGTTTAAGCTTTTATAAAAAAAAAAAGACAGAAAAATGAACGTTAAGTCTATATTTTTGCATACGCAAATTTTGGTGTTTGCTTAAATTTTTTTAAAACAAATCATTACAACATTACTTCAGCAATTTTTTTTCCAAATATTTATGTGATTGATAGTTTTTTATTTATTATAAAAAACACATATTTATAATAAAATTAAAATTAAAAATTAGTTATTAAAATTTAAAACACATTTTAAAGACTTTAAAAGAAATCATGCTTAAACATTACAAATGCTTTTTTCTATAGCTTTTTTTTTTTTTTTTCTTTAAGTGAAGTAATTTTTATTTGCATTTAAAAATGTCTTTTAAAATGTCTGAAAAGAATATTTAAGTTTTGCTGAAATATATGTGTTTATGTGCCAATAATATGATATTTTTATTAACTTATTATTAAATATATATATGATATTATTTTTAAAAAGAATATGATATTAGTTTTAAAAAGAAATGTCAAGTTTTAATGTTTTTTTTATCTAGCGAACTAAATTGAGAAAAATTCATTATTTAGTATCAATGGATAACAATTTGCAATCATTAGGTCATTGCATATTAATTATCATTAATTTGCGCGCACTTTGCAAATGTATAAAAAATGTATATATATATATATATATATATATATATATATATATATATATATATATATATATATATATATATATATATATATATATATATATATATATATATATATATGTATATATGTATATATGTGAAAATTACTTTGTAAAACATTTTGTGAAATAATTGTTATGAATTTTTTCACAACTCTTCAAAAATTTGATAATCTTTGTAGGCATCTAAATTTTGTAGAAAACTCAACTTTTTTTTACCTTAAGACGTTTTGAAAAATGACTGTAAAATGCTCATTGTTATTGTTGTGAAAGTAAAGCTCATTGTTATTGTTGTGAAAGTAAAGCTTGTTGTTATTGTTGTAAAAGTAAATCTTGTTGTTAATGTTGTGAAAGTAAAGTTTGTTGTTAGAGATAAAAAGAAAGTTGTTGCTCATTTAAGTCTTATTTTTTTGAGTTATAAATTCAAAATATGTAATAAATATTGTTGTTATAAATAATATTTATTAAATAAATTAGCCAGATATTATGTAGTTGATATAAAAACAATATTAGCAAGTATTTACTTTTTTAAATTCGATTAAATTTTTTTTTCTGACTTTATTAAAAATAAAAAATGCTTTAGTGGTATTTGATCTGTGGGAAATCATGGATTGTTACTACCATCACTACTACACAAATGGTGGGTGTAATGATTGGTGCTGCTGTTGGTGGTGCTCTGGGTATGAATTTTTAGACCTATAGTAAATTTGTTTTTAATAGTTGTTTAATTTAAAAATAGAGATTTAACTAATCTCTAATTTTAATGTCATTAAATTATTAATTAAATTATAATTATTTTTTTTGTGTGTGTTTTCAATATACTTTAAAAAACTATTTTGTTAAAAAACTATTTGGTCATGAAATTTTATTTAACATGAATTTTCTTTAAAATGTTTATATATTATATTCACTGTTAAAAAATTCGCCGTAGATTTAACGGAGAATGTCCAGTTGCAAAGTGACAGCACTTTCTCCATAAAAATTAACGGTTTCTGTAGTTTCTATTTTCCGTAAAAATCAACGGAAAAAGTCTGTAAAAAAAGATACAGAACTTTCTCCGTAAAATTTACAGTGAACGTGTTTCATTTTTTCCGTACAAATTAACAGAGAATGTCAGGCAGCAAAGAGACAGCAGTTTCTCTATAATATTTACGGTTTCTGTATTTCATTTTTTCCATTCATATTAACAGAAAAACTCCATTAGTTCAGCAAATGGACAGTTACTTGACTCATTTTACAGAGTTTAAGCGAAAATCAAAAAAGAATGAATGGAAAATTTAAATGATTAAAAATTATAATGTGATACACAATAATTGTTATAATAAATATAAACAAATTATGTTATAGTAGTTATTATATTTATTATATAATATTTATGACAACAAATAATATTTATTATGACAAATTATACTATATTATAAAAGTTATTTTATATTTTATATTATAATAATTATAATAAATATAAGCAAAACGTCTTTTGATCTATTGATCAAACAGCGCTAGTTCGTTTACAAAACACAAAACTTTTGGGTGAGGTCCGACATACTGCTTTTTTACCAGTTTTTTTTTCAATTTAATTTTTTTTTCAGGATTCATTTTTGCGATACATCTAAATAATAATTAAATCAGATTAAAAAATAATTATTTACAGTAAAAAAAATAAATAAATAAAAGAAAGTAATGTTGAAAAATTGAATGTAGAGTGAGCATGTCGAGCATGCAGTTGCAGATAATCAGGATATATTGATATAAAAGAAAGTGTAGGTTAGTTATAAGCAAGTATGTAAGTATATCATCACAAATATAGGCCAGATAACAAGAAAAATAATTAAGAGAACTATTTTAGACAGCACTAAAGTAAATATAAAAATACATCTAACATACTATTTTATTTAATATATACCTTTTTTCCATACATTTATCCTCTATGTGGTTTATCCTCCTCCAAATAATTGCTATATAGAGGCTACATGGAGCCCACGAAGACAAGTTTAGCTCACTAATCATCATAACCCCTTTGGAGACTGAGGGTAAGTGGTTTTTAGAAGAATGAAGGATATTAGTGAGAAAGTTAGAGGAAGTCGAGTTGGCATAGTTGACAGTATGGTACTTGATGTTAGAATGTCAAATTTATGTTCAATATCAAGTTTACTTTATAGGAACCCTTGCTATATATAAAGTTTTATATAGTTTATGTATATTTTATTTTATATATATATATATATATATATATATACATACATACATACATACATACATACATACATACATACATACATACATACATACATACTTACATATATAGATTTTTTTTTATCCATTTATTTAATCAAAATATTGAAAAAAGTTACAAATTTATGTATAATTTACAAAATAAGGTTCGGTGTCACTTGAATAGTTTAAAACTAGTCATTGGTGTGACACCTTAACAAAATAAACAAATAAAGAGAAAAACAAACAAGCAACAAAAAGTAATAATATAATATAAGCAACAAAAAGTAATAATATAGATAGTGACCAAAAAATAATTATAACAAAAAGGAGAATAATAACTACTAGCTGTAAGTCTATTCCAAACCGAACCTTTTAAAACTTTTTCCTAGCTTTATATATTTATATATATTTATATCCTAGCTTTTCGAATCTGTAAAATACAGGTCTTTATCGGAACTTCTATTTCTATACATACCTATTTTACACTGATTATTTCAATACCTAGTCCTTATTTACTTCAATACTTTTAAGTAAAATAATTTTGTTTTGAAAAACAGCAAATAAATAGATAGACTATAAAATGCTATGGAATCGCGCACAAATTACGCTAATTTTAAAAAAAGTAGAAGATATCTTCAGTTTTTTAGGATGGCGATTTTCATTAAACTTAATGAGCTGTATAGATTTTTTATTTAACATACGACTCTGCGAGGAAAAATTTTGATCATTTTTGTTTTCTTCAATTGTGAAATTTAGCATTGAGTAATTTATGGACGATCCCTTGTTTAAGATTAGATAAAGGATCAGACAAAAAGTATATAAAGCCAAAAAATCATAGAGTAAAATACTATTTTGATGGTTATCTAAATTGTTGTTATTGGGCACTCGGTTTTGAATGTTTAACGGGGGCGTGGATTAATAGCTGTATAACTCTAAATTTCCTTATTGTATCAAAATTAAATAACTTAACCTTTTACTTATTTTTAAAAGTAATTAATTTAATAAAATGGTTTCATTTAAATGTAAAATTAAAATTTTTATTTATGTTTTAATAAAAAGCATACTTTTTTAACCTCCGTCCTATTTTAAAAAAGTTAAGTTTGCCGGGCGGCAAGTTCAATTCATCAGCTCGCTTTACTTTTAATTTTTGTTGTCATGACCCGTAAAATATGGGTCTTGCTAATGTATTCCAAACTGACCTTTTCTATACTAAGTCCTTACTTCAATATACTTGAGTAAGAGGTAGGAAAATAACTATACAAAAAGAAAAAAACTATACTCGTTGTATAAAAAAAATTCTATCGTAAATAATTTTAAAAAACATGAGATGATTTAAATATGTGGAGCGGACTTACCATGAGCCGTTTAATACTGGTCATGGTAAGTCTATTCCACACTGCCCGAATATCAATAATTTTTAAAGAGATATAAAAATCTTTATATTGATATAACCATAAATGTTCAAAACTTTATAACTTTAACAAATTTCTATAAAAAAAAAACAAAAACAGGACAGCGGTTATTTTTTCTCTTTAATAAGTTTCTAATTTTCTTTGAATCAGCAGCTTATTAAGACTCTTGCCCTATTAATTTTAAAGAAAAATCATTTTTTCTTTAAATTAACAGCGCATGTAAAATATTTTCCAATAAGATATAAAGTTGTCCCTTTAATCCGCAGACTTTACTGATTACTAAGCACATAAACAACTTAAGTATCGTGATATATGCTCAACAAATTTTTAACAATGTAATCACGTTTTTAGAAATTTTAAAAAGCTTTTTAAGAAATTCTCTCCCTTTTATTTATTATAGTATATAATATCTTGATATATTTTATGCAATGCGGTAGTGGTGTAGTGGTAAGAGCGCTCGCTTTGTAAGCGAGAGGTTCGGAGTTCGACTCCCACCATGTCCCTGGAAGTACCGCGCTCAACTTAATTTCTCCGCGCAGCAGTCTTGCTTGTCAAGGTTCGTGTTTCGGAGTTAAAGAGTTGAGAGAGGGTTGTACCACGATATACAACAAAAAAAAAAAAATATAAACAAAAAAAAAAAAATGAGTAGCCTCCTTGACTGTAGTGGCCTCCTCGGGCCTTGGAAAAACAAATAATTAAAAAAAAAAAAAAATATCTATAGGCCTTAAAAAATGTTTTCTTTTGTATTCTAAAAAATTGGAAAAGATTTTTAAAAAAATTAAGTGTAAACGAAAGGATTTGAACCCACGCGAAGCACTTTAACCACTTTGGCATGTTTTAAAAGAATAAAAAATAATCTGTATTGTATTAATGTATTAACTGGAAATCAATTTATTTATACATAATTAGCAAAACAAAATATATAAAGAAAATTATGTTTACAAAAAAAAAATTTAACTAAATATGCATTATCAATAGGGATTGGTAGATTAAGCAATATTTGGATTATTTGCTAGAACAACCAACTACATAAATAATTATAAATGCAGCATTTTTTTATCTACTACTCACTCTCCTCCTTAACATATGTATATATATATAAAAAGGTGGGGGATGCTTTTGCCTTAAATTTGAACCCACACCTTGTGAGATATGGGCCCTCTATTTGTTCTTCAAAATGCTAAAAAAGCATCGTAAGATGTCTAAAGTGAAACAAAATTAAATTTATGACATGAAAAAAGTAAAAAAGGTAAAATAACACTGCAAACCAATTAACCTGTTGCTGATAAAACAATCAAAATTTGTAAGAAAAAATTACTCTATGTGTAACAGAAAAAAATTTCATATAATTAAAAAAACAAAAAAAAATTATCCTTACCTTGTTTGCAATATAAACTAATTTCTATTTAAACTATAAGCTAATGATCAACATAGTAAACTTATAATAACTAAAGCTTACTAAGTTAAAATTATATTTTAACAGTAGACAAAGTAAACATAATAGTCTGTGGAGCATCAAAGTAGAACTAAAGAAATAGAATAACAACTAAATTTAAAATGTTTTTAATACATAATACTTGCAGTTAAAAACATAAAAAATAACTCAACCTTCACAAGATAATGAAGGTAAAGTTGTTAAATCGTTCAAAAAATAAAAAATAATTTTTAAAATATCAATTTTTTCGTAACTATGATCCTTTTAATGAAAAACATTGTTCTTGAACAGATAAGGACACATCGAAAAAGAACATATCTTTAATATTAAGTTCATTAAGTTTTTTAAAGGTCAATAAAGTTCTTTCATATTGCAAGTACTTAATAGAGCTGTAAATACCTGTGATAGGTTATTATGAAAATTAATAAAGTATTCAAAAAATTATTAATGATAATATATTATTTTGACATGGAGAATCATAAACACAGTCACAACAGCTCTAGAATCATTCAAATATTTTGCAAGTTTAGTTGACTTAAAATTTGATGGTGTTTAGTGTAAAAACAAAATGTAAAACTTTCAACATAATTTTTAGTAAACATAACTCCTTAATTTTCAGTTTTTAACTTAATTAGTATTAAAAAAATAAAAAAATTAGTATTTTTGAAAGAATATATTTATTTACAAACAAAACTTAAAAAATAGATTAATAAAAATAAACATATAAAACTAAATATGTTTAAATACCTCTTTTATTTGTAGATGTAGTTATGTATTTTCCACTACTCACTCTAACTTCTCAAACTGCACTTTTGGTAAAGTTAATTCCAAGTTTTTTTTATATACTATTGCTACCTCACCATTAAATAAAATAAATATATTTCAAAATTCTTTATAATTTGTACAGAAATGATAGTTGGAAAAGCATAACTCAAAATCAGCTGAAAATTAAATTATATTTGGGCTTATCTCTGCAAACCAGCTTTATTAAAAAAAGTCATGTACAAGTCATACATCTTTACTACTCATTAAATTCCGGATTAATTCCTGATTATGAGTACATCTGACTAAATGAAGAATTATTCTAAACTTTCATCAGTATAATATTAAAATCATATTAAATTAGGGTTCTTCAAATTAAAAAGTTAATTTTTGCAAAACAACTTAAAAGAACTATTCAATTGGTTCAAAAAATGGCTGATTGAGTTATTTCAAAAAATGGCTGATTGAGTTATTTCAAAAAATGGCTGATTGAGTTATAAAAGAGTTAAATATTAAATATTAAAATTAATTATTAATAATATTTAAAAATAATATTAAGTGCGAAGGTAAGTGAATAAGATGTGGTATTTATAAATGTGGTATTTATAAATGATTTAAGTTTAAAAACAACAAGTTATTGCAAAAGCCTCTAAAGTTCTATGATTGGAATTATCAAACTCTGTGAGTTTCTTTGCGAGTTTTTTACAGAGTATATTTTGTTTGTAAGTTTTGATTCATTTTTGGGTTTTGTATAGTATATATTGTTTGTGAGTTTTAATTTATTTGTGGATTTTGTACAGAGTACAAAACTAATTGAATTTTCTGTTTTAGATATCCTTTTAGAAAAGCTGATATAAAAATATAAGAAAGTATTTAGCACAGGACAATACAAGGATGCTCCCTATTTTCAAATTTTATGAAATATAAAAAAGAGATGTTGGTTTAATCGAAATTTTCAAAGATATGTTAAAATCTGAAGCACTGTTAATATCTTTAAAAGTTTTAAGTGTTCTCTCTACAATACATGTAGCTGTGTCTTTAAGTGTTCTCTTTACAACACATATAGTTGTGTCTTTAAGCCTTTTCTCTAGAACACATATAGTTGTGTCTTTAAAAAATTTATTTCATATATAAAATGTTATGTAATTGGTTTTCTAAATCTTTTTTTATTTTAATTATTTAGGAGATTATATAGGACGCCGAAAGACTTTGTTAATAGTTTTTTCAATGAATCTGTTTTTTTTCACTCTGGAGGCTTTTTCTATTAATTGGATAATGATGTCCGTATGTGTTTTTTTTGTTGGAATTTCTGTTGGAGGTAACTATTTATAGTTAATTTTGAATAATACATTCATTATTTATTTTACTTCAATAACTAAATAAAAATCCAAACCTGTGTTTTAATAAAATGTTCTAAAGTCTTTTTAAATGTTAAATATTTTGAAAATTCTGTGATGTTTTAACTAAATGTAAAATATAGAAAAAATAAATATAGATGATAAGTATAGATCAAGTAGAAGAACCACATTGGGTTTTTAACTTATCCAATTCCTTGTACAACTCAGAGCTTCTTGATTACAAAGGGAGCCCTTTACCACTACACTTCTTATGACATATTTTTGTAGTGATACACCACACTATAACCACCACACTACACCAATATGACATATTTTTGTAGTGACATACCACAATATGACCACCACACTACACCACTATGACATATTTTTAAAGTGATATACCACACTATGACCACCACACTACACCACTATGAAATATTTTTATAGTGATACAACACGCTATAAAAGTGGTATACCACACTACACCACTATGATATATATTTTATAGTGATACTACCACACTATGACCACCACATTACACCAATGACATATATTTAAAAATTATACACTATCACTACCACACTACACCACTATAAAATGTTTTTTATAGTGATACTACCACACAACTTTTTTCTTTATTAAGTTTAAATCAAATTAAGATGGTTTTATTTCAGAGTCTTTTTTTTTCAATATTCTAAAACTTAAAATAAAATTTGAGATAAAATGATAATAGATTAAACAAAAGATAAAATAAAATTTGAGATAAAATGATAATAGATTAAACAAAAGATAAAATAAAATTTGAGATAAAATGATAATAGATTAAACAAAAGATAAAATAAAATTTGAGATAAAATGATAATAGATTAAACAAAAGATAAAATAAAATTTGAGATAAAATGATAATAGATTAAACAAAAGATAAAATAAAATTTGAGATAAAATGATAATAGATTAAACAAAAGATAAAATAAAATTTGAGATAAAATGATAATAGATTAAACAAAAGATAAAATAAAATTTGAGATAAAATGATAATAGATTAAACAAAAGATAAAATAAAATTTGAGATAAAATGATAATAGATTAAACAAAAGATAAAATAAAATTTGAGATAAAATGATAATAGATTAAACAAAAGATAAAATAAAATTTGAGATAAAATGATAATAGATTAAACAAAAGATAAAATAAAATTTGAGATAAAATGATAATAGATTAAACAAAAGATAAAATAAAATTTGAGATAAAATGATAATAGATTAAACAAAAGATAAAATAAAATTTGAGATAAAATGATAATAGATTAAACAAAAGATAAAATAAAATTTGAGATAAAATGATAATAGATTAAACAAAAGATAAAATAAATCTGAGTTAAATAGTAGAACAAGAACAATAATCAAAATACGAACAGGAACAATAAGCATTAAAAAAAATCTTTGAATTTTTTTATTTTTCAATTCTAGCAAAACTGTTTATTACTTTTAAATGAGTAAGCAAATCGCTTTGCAAATTTGTTTGGAAATAACTGTTATATTTTTTCTAGGCAACTAATTTTCTTGTTTCTGCAAAAATCAAGAAAGTTAGTTGTTTTTTCAATTAAAGATTTTACCTTTAGGTTCTGGTCTTATATTATATTCTGGTATTATATTTCTCATGTTAAGTTAATTTCTGGTTTCATGCCAAATTATTTGAAAATGAATTCAAATGTGTCTAATATTGAAGAGGTTGCTTCAGCTGTTATACATGTAAGAGAACATTTTTCTGAAAACCTCTTTGAATGCTAAATAAACTTCATTCAAATTTTTGCATCATTGATGGTTCATGATGGTTTTATAACATGGCCAAATAACTTCTCTGTTAATTGGTAACAATTTGGGCTGTAAATCCATAGAAAACAATTTAAGAAAAGTTTGATTATTCTAATATTTTTTAACACTGACCAAAAAGGAAAAAAATTCAAATATATTTAAACAATATTTAAATTTAAGAAATAAAAAATCTAATTTTCATAAATGTTACATCATTTTCTTTAATCTTTTAAATTACATCAAACTATGAGGTAATTAATCAAGATTAGCCTTGATCATGTTTCTTAATGGGTAAGTTCCTTATAGTTTTGTAGACTTGAATAAGGCAAAGGTTAGATGTTTTAGACATGTTTACTTCAAACTTGTTTATTACTTTATTTACAATTATTTATTTTACAACATTACAACAACAGCAATTATTCACTTTACAACATATATATCAATGTTCATTTTACAATTATTTATTTTTTAGGGTTAATGGTTTTAATCAAAGTAGCTTTCTTAGAGTTTGTTGGAACAGAGTATAGAACAGTTGCTACTGTGCTACCTTTCTGGGGTTTAGGCGTTTCATTGTTTGGTTTATTAATCAAAATTGTGCCATACTGGAAGCATGTATGTTATACTACTTCTGCAACAGGAATACCTGTATTTTTATTAATGTGGTATGTATTTTGATTTTTAATTTTTTTCTATTATTCAAATATTTTTCTACCAATCTTTACCAATTCTACAATTTCTACCAATTTTTGCCATAAATTTTTAATTTCACTAATCTTCTTCATTTTCTTTTTCGTTTTTTTTTTTAAATAGTAACAGGAGCTTTAATTTCACTAATCTTCTTTGTTTTCTTTGTTTGTTTTTTTTAAATAGTAACAGGAGTTTTAATTAATTAAGAAATAGTTATGCAAGGAAGCAACTTCAGAAAATTGTAAAAAATTTTGTTTGCAACTTAACTATGAATAAACTATTATTTTATTGGTTAAACAGATTTTCTTTTATTATTGAATAATTTTTCAAGTGGCTTATTGAAGTTAATATTAATGAAACTATATTTTGTTATATATTATACATTATTATATTAGTTTTTATAATATAAAAATTAAACTAAACATTTTAACATCAAAGCTTTTAACATCAAAGTAATAATTCAACAAGAACATAAAAATAATGATGATAAATTGGTCAAGATAAAGATACTTGCTTTTATTAGAAATCTTTGAATAGGAACCATCTTAATATCATATTATCCTTAAATAATTTTTTTTTAATTTTTATAATTTTTTTTTGTTTATTTTTTGTTGATGTTCAAATTTCTTTGTATCTAAGGTTTTACTTACCAGAAAGTGTCCGTTGGCTTTTTACACAAAATCGTTTTGATGAAGGTGAAAGTGTTCTAAAGTCGTTAGCAAAAGTAAACAAATTACCAGAGAGAGATCTATCCGACATTCGCAAAATTATTAAAGAAGAGGAAACATTTAATAAGAAGAAACCCACTTATACATATCTATCATTATTTTGTTACAGACAAACTGCATGGAGAGCTCCTTTATTTGCATTCTTATGGTATGTTTTTATGATTTTTAAATTACATACTTATACAATTATTTTTTTATAAGTGTTATTATTAGTAGCATTAGAGTATTAATAGTATAACTGAATATTTACAGAAAGTAAAACATTTGAATAAAATGAAGTGCTGCTATCAACAGGGTTGCCAGATGGCATTATAGTATGCCATTATGCTATTATTTTGGCATTTTCAAAAAGTTTAAAAGTTGTAAATAAATGCAAAAAGTTCTATAAATAGCATTAAAATGTTTTATTTATTTTGTATTCACGATGATCTAACCATTAAAAAATGATACCATTGCACTGTTTTAGTATTATGTATTCTAATATATTTTTAAAGTTTGAGGAAATATATATAATATACAAGGTTTGCGCAATGGCGGGGGGGGGGGGATGGTATAGAAATTCAACCAATAAATTTTTGTACCATTAGCCAGCAAATTGAGACCTTTTTGTACTTTCAGTCGGCCAATTAGGGAAGTGGAGGACTTTTTTAAGTCAGCAAAAATCTAATGAGTAGGTGGTTGCTGACTGAAATCGCAGCATGTTTAGAAAACTTGTGGCAAAATCACGGTAAATTCCAAATTATGAAAATAATTTCATAATTGGAATTTCATAATGGAATTTTTATTGACATTTTTTAGACAGAATGGCATTATTTTAGCAATTCACAACTAAACTTTTGGTATTTAATATGTAAAAAATGCTGGCAACTTTGGTTACCAATATGTTTATAAATTTTTTATTTTTAATTAAAAAAAAAAATAACTATTTAAACTCACTAAATAAAAACTAAAAATGATGGTAGTTTGATGCATTATAAACATTAAAAGTTTAAACATATTAAAAATTTTTTTTAAATAAAAACATAAACTGGTAGTTTGGCAGTTTAATAGTAATATTATTTTTTCTTGTTTGTTTTTGGTGTTTAATTTTTGTTAAAAAATATTAATTTACTACAAACATCTCCCTTTAAAGATTAAAAAGTTATTTTGTTCATAAGCATGCTTTTAATTCAGAGCGTACTATTTCTATGACAACTCTTGCCAGCAAAAAATGTAACAACATGTGAAAAAATATTTGCATCTGAAAATGTAACGCATTCATTAAAATTATTCAATTAAATTGTACTTCACTTGCTTTTTGTCTTCGAAATTTGGTCTAGAGGTTCAATGACAAATGCAAACTGAAAATAGTAAGTAAATATGTAATTTCTGGGATACTTGTAATGATCTTTCCAGCATTGTTTTCAAGTGGTTACACCAATTTATTTTCCTTTATGCTTATGCCTTACTTGGTTATAACTTGAACTAAACTTGGTTTTGGGTCATAGTTGAAACATGCTGTAATCTCACTTTTGTAGCCAATGGTTATTGTTCTCACCACCTTACTAAGCCTTTTTGTTGCTTTGTGCTTCTTTCGAATTCCCTTATGTGTCTATCAACCGGCTGCTAAGTATTTTTGTCATAGTGTTTTCTTCTCCCTCACAACTACTTTGACTTCTGGGGTAATCCACTGTTCTTTTTTACTCTTAAAAGATAACATAGTCACAGGTATGTGGATTTTGATTGCTTCATTAATTTTGTCTAATAGTACTTTATAGTTGTCTTTAGCTGAAAAAGAATTTAAGATATTTGTCCAATCGATGGTATCATAGTTTTCTCTAATCCATATGTACCTCACTTCGTTGTTGTCTGTGGTTAGGTTGTTGTTTTTTTACAAATAAACCAATGAGAAAGCAATGTAATAAGTAAGTCAAGTGTGCTTCTTGGCTCTTCTCTAATTTTTCTGTAAGTATTGAAAATTTGTGTAAAGAAGTTTATGTCTATACATAAACTTCTTTACACAAAATTATTAATTATAAATTTGTGTAAAGAAGTTTATGTATAGACATTTTTAGAATATCATATCACTTTGATCCTCGTTTTCCATGTGGTCAACTATTTCTGATGTGTCATCCAGGTCAAGCTCTTGGTATGTTGTGTGACTGAAGTTGAAGTCTCCATAGATTTATGTTAGGGTCAATGAAAATTCCCAAAGTCACACATGCTGTGAATTATGCGATTTTCACTAAATTTCCCTTACCATTAATTTCTTGATATTTCATTTCTTTAATTATTCATCACGCTGTGCATGATCTGTTGTCTGTTTGATCTACAATAGGCCAAGACATTAACTTTAAACTGCTTTTATAATGGAATACCTAGCATTAATAGTCATATCATTGCTGATAAAGTTGCTGCCTACAAGCAGGTTGTTAAGGAGATTAATGTCAGCATGCAACCACTTACATTCTGGTTTTCCAGCAAGGAACGGTTCTCTCAACTGTTCATTTTGGCAGTCCAATATCTATCTGTCTATCAACTCAGTTGATGCAGAGAGAAGTGTTAGTCACTATTAACTGATAAATTCACCTTAGCAGCAGTGTTTCACAGACAATAGTTTAACTCTGCATGTGATGATGGCACTTAACGCTAGAAATTTTGACTTAGCAACTGATTAGTTAGCAGATTGACTATATAATAGTTTAGTACGTTTGATGACATTGATTTTAGTGTGTATAAGTACAATTTAAAGACATTTAATTTAACCAAATAACTATTAAAGTGTACAGCTTGCTTGTCATGAATTTACCGTGATTTTGCGACAAGTTTTCTAAACATGCCACAATTTCTTGTCATGAATTTTCACGGACCCTAATTAACATGGATGAGCATTCAAGTTTTGAGATGCTTTTCTTTGCTGTATCAATTGCTTTTACTTTTTCAAGGACTTTGTCTTTGAACCATGACTGAAGAATAGCAAGTCTGGTTTGTCTGCTGGTTCTTGGGTTCTGCTATTCTCGCCATCAGTTTATCTTGTTTTTGCACTATTCAGTGGCCGCATTATAATATTTTTTTGACAAAATTTTTTTTAATTTAATAAAAAAATTTTTTTTTGTTAATTTGTTTTCTTTCGTTGTGTGTTGATGTTTTATTCTCTGTAGTTTCTTATAGCTTTATTTTGCTATAAATTATTAAAACGCATATTATATAAAAAGGTGGTCAAGTTGTCTGAAAAATGACAAAGCATGCGACTGCACGCGCTTCCTGGGAAGGCTTGGTTTCCCAGGCAAAAAAGTTCTATAGAATTTCTATAAAATTTTGAAACATATGGCCTATAGAAATTCTATAGAAATTCTATAGAATCTCTGTTAATTTCTATAGAAATTTCTATAGAACTTTTTTCTACTTTTTCTATAGAAAAAAAAGTTTTATAGCAATTTCTATAGAAATTATTAGACATTCTATAGAAATTCTATAGGCCATATATTTCAAAAGTTTATAGAAATTCTATAGAACTTTTTTTCCTGGATTAAGAAGAAAAAAATGAAAAAGAATAAGTATACTAAAAAATGAATTTTTTGTTGATTTTCTTCAAATTGGTTCTCAATTTAGTTGTGAATAAACTTAAAAGGTTTTACTAAAATAACATAATATAACATAAAATAACATATCTCAATAATGACACATGCGCAAAAAAATTAAAAAATGAAAGTTGCCGTTTTAGGACTCGAACCATGGATACCTTGATTATAAGCTCAGCGCATTAACCACTCTTCTACACTAACAAGTTGTAGGTTGGAGATTTGAAATTATATAGAAATTAATATTAACGGATATAAATACAAAAGATCAGAAATCAAGCAGAGGTTGACGAAATGCAGTTCTTAAGTGAAAATCAAACTGTAGAACTTGATATATGTTTAAGCATGTTTTAACATTACATAACATGAAGTCTAGGTACGTACGATATAAGTTTCACGTTTGCTCACGTTTTCTTATAAAGCGAAGGTGAGACTTTTTCTCGTCACTACCTTAAAGGGATTAAAGGGATCCCAAACTCCCAACACATGTTGTGTTCATATTAAAAATAATGTTAAAAAAAGGTTTGAACCAAGTTTTTTTGATTAAAAATAAATAATGAATGCATACCGAGAAAAACTAATGTTGTTGTTTTAGCCAAAGCTCATCTCCATTTTTTTCAATAACTCAGAGTCTTCAAATTATACGTTGCAATCTACAGATTTTGGCGATTCCTTTGAAGTGCATTGAATTCATAAAAGTTTTAGTATTTGACGTCACGGTAGACTTTTAACAAATAAAACTCTGGAAATATTTTTTTTTATTTTGATTCAAAATTTTTTTGATTTGTTTAGTTTTTTTTTTCTATTTTTAACATTTAAAAAGATATTAAAAATCTCAAATATTTTATGCTAGTTCGTTGCTATAAATTGTTATTGCGCCATATATTTTATGTTTATAAATTATGAATATTTATTATCTCAATCAAGACTCTGATAAAAAATTCAAAATCAAGACTCTGATAAAAAATTGTTTTACATTAATTACCCGTATAAAATTAGTAACAGTTTTTTTATTTGGTTAGACGATATTTCGTTTCAATTTGCTTTGCATGAAGTTCGGAAAGTCAAACTAAAAAAATTAGTCTGAATAACCATGTCAAAATATATTTAAAACAAATTATTTTAATGATGGGGGTTCTAAAGTCTTTTATAACAAATGAAGGTAAAAATAAATAACTAAATAAAAAGTTCAACATTAAACATCATTTCTTTATTATATTGCAACTGTAAATATTGAAATATTAACTTGAACTAAATTTACTTATTATTTAGAACGACTAAGCAATAAAAATAAAATGCCCCTAAAATTTTGCGAGATTGTGTTGTTAATTTGATAATTGTTGTTGGTAATGTTGTTTATGTTGATTATTTTCATTAATATCAAAATAGTCCCAGAATAATCTGTTAGATGCTTTGCTCATTGTTGATTTATTTCTAATTTTTATTTCAAAGTATAATTTTACGTTAAAAAAGAAAAGTTTTTATTTCATCGTGCGCTCTTTTTATAAAAGAGTAGAACAAAAGAGAAAGAAAAGTTTGGCGTAATTAAACTTTAAATGAATAAGAGTTGTATAGAATATATATATTT